CATTCAGTTTGAATTTTGCAGAGTAAGACAATCACTTACCAGTATTTATCTTTTTATTTCTTGACACCTTTATGGGCTCAGTACACTCAGGTCCCTGTTGCATCTGTGCATTCTCCACCTCCAATTATGGCATCAGCTGACGTCAATAACAATAAGGCTCATGATTGGAGGAAGCCTATTTGACAAGATATGGGTAGCTACGCATTCACTCGCTCCCTTCTCTGCTGACTTCTGTGTATAAGACGCCCCTCAATTTTCAGTCTAATGATTTTAGAAAAAAATAGCATCCTATACATAGAAAAATACGGTAGATCCCATGGCAGAGGCTTGTACTTTCGAACCAAATGGTTTTTAGAAACATACAATGATTTTCTCAAATGGGCATCATAAAGCAACATTTATTGCTGAAAAGGTATTTAGTAACACCTTTTAACAAATGTTAAGTAATAGTGCACTTAACTTTAAGTACTTCGCATCCTCTTGTCTGTATCAATACCTTTAATTGGATCCTCTAGCAGAGGATTGGACTTAATTTATTTCAGGTGATGCCACAATTATACAATTACTCAGTGGAATTAATTAGAGATTTAATTATATTAGTGCCCTAAAGTGCTATATCAAGGAAATAAAACACAGACTAATAATTTACCTTCAGTGTGTGTATGTGTGTGTGTGAGTTATTTTTCCTACAGCTAAAGTATTTTTCCAGTCACAAGGGCCAGTGTGGGCCCACTAGCTCTTCTAGCCACATCCTAATATGGAAAGTTCTGTCTCTGCATTGATTTGGGCTTTGCCCAGTCAAAATGTAGGTGAAGGCAAAAGTGGAAGGATCTTTTTTTCACTTGTGGTGTTTCTATTGTAGCTATTAGAATCAAGGTCATAGGTCCAGTCCCTCTGTGTTCTATTTAACCCTTTCAGGCCCTGTAGCTCTATAACAGCCCTTCTTACAGGCGGTCCTGGGAAGCTGGGTTTCTCTCTGTACCTCCAGCCCTACAGTATACATACCTAGGCTACATAGGTGCCCAACAAATGCTTGTTGAATTGAATTTGATCATTGCAAAGACTGAAACAATATAAACACAACTATTTTTAAAATAGAGTAACTCAAAATACATCCCCTCACTAGTGAGGTACTCGCAAATCTGGCTAATCATCGGAATGGCATAGGAAGCATTTTTTAAAGACCTTATTGACTCCCATCTCCAGGAACAGGGCCTAGGCATCTGCATTTTAAAATTCCCCGTGTGAATCTTATGGTCAACCAAGTCTGAACCCCAGCTTATGTGTTTTTTTGTCACATTTATATACATAGGAGAAGACTGTCTTCTCAGGATAGACCCATTGCCTATTCAAATTTATAATATAAAATTAATCTCATTTATAGTCTATGAATTACATCTAAAGGATTTCCTTTGAGCCAATAGTTTGTGTAGGTGGTAGAAGTGTTTACAGATAGTTGTGAGGAACAATACCTTCCCTGAAGGATTACATTACTGGTGAGTCATTATATGGGCATTTTATACCTGGACTATATCAGATCCCTTGGTATATACAAAACCCTGTGAGCCCACCTCTGCGGACAGAACAGATTCAGCTGTTAACTGGGGTAAATCATCATTGGGTGAGAGAAATTCACTCTTTTAGGATTTGAGTAACTTTCAGTGATGTCCTCCTGGGTGCCGTCATGTCCTAATCTAAATTACCCTTCATTGTAGGGTTACATACCATATGAGCCACCTTTGAATATTCATTTGAGCCTAACTGAGTACTATAGAGTACCAAATTAAATGAAACAATCAGAGAAATACAGAATGTGGAACATTGTACAACACAGCCTAGTCCTTTCAAAATAGCAATGTCATAGGGAGAAAAGGATTAAAGTGTCATAGCCAACAAATGAAATGTGTAAACCAGGATTGATGAGGTTGGAATTTAAAAAGCTAAAAAAGACATTTTAGAGTCTGATGGGGAAATCTGCACCAGGACCAGGTATTAGATAGCATTAGAGAACTGTTGTGAGCTTTCCAGCTGTGATAATGGTATTCTGGCTTGTATCAGGGGGTGTTCTTAATTTAGGAGACGCACGTCCAAACAAGGGCTAAGCATCCTGTGTTCCATGGTGTGTCCAGGGAAGGTCCTACCCGCTCAGAGCCTGTTGTTAAATATTCAAGAATTTTGTGATCCCACAACCCTCAGTAGCTTGAAACTCAATGATGGGAGTATTCATACCACAAAATTCTGCAAATGCTACAAATAAAGCTTTGTCCTCCCCTGGAGAACTAATTTATCACTGCCCCCAGCTTATTTTCAAATGGTTCCAAACACACACACACACACACACACACACACAGAATAAAAATGGCAAAATATTAACTATTGTTGAATCTAAGTAGAAGATAGTCATTGTTTTAGTCTAGGAACCAGCAGACTCTTTCTATCAAAGCCAAAGTGTAAATATTTGAGGATTTGCAGGCCATACAGTCTCTGTGGCAGCTCCTCGACTCTGCACTTTGCCGTTGTAGCACAAAAGCAGCCAGAGGGCCCTGAAGTGAATGGGCATGGTTACGTTCCTACAAACTTGATAAAAACAGGGGCAGTGGCTAAACGCTGAGGAGGAAGAAGAATGAAGTCCTTGTGAACATCTGTGGTGCTTCAGCACTGTCAAGCACTCTGCTGGTTCATGTGGTCCTCCCAACAGTCCTTCATGGGACTGATATTTTCTCCATTTAGAACTCAGGAAGTTAAGTGGCTTCCCTAAACCCAGCTGGCATGGCTCAGTGGTTGAGCATCTACCTATGAACCAGGAGGTCATGGTTCGATTCCTGGTCGGGACATGTGCCCGGGTTGTGGGCTCAATCCCCAGTGTGGGGCATGCAGGAGGCAGCCAAATAATGAATCTCTCTCATCATTGGTGTTTCTATCTCTCTCTCCCAATCCCTTCCTCTCTGAAATCAATAAAAAATGTATTTTTAAATAAATAAATAAATAAATAAATAAATAAATAAATAAATAAATGGTTTCCCTAAGATTACTACGCTAGAATGGAGTTTAAATCTGGCTGCTTCTGATACCCAGCACCATTTTAGTGTCTTCATGCATTTGGTGATTTGCAAGAGACCAGGGAACCCTAGGCTGCAAGAGTCCCCAAGTTCACATGCAGGTTTGAAATGTCCGTGGAGTGCTGAGAGTCTGGTGGAGCATAGTTTCAAGCGCTTTTGGACTGGGTGTTAGCAAAACCTGGCTTCTGGGTCCTGGCCAGGACCTCAGTTGGTTGGAGTGGCATCCTGATATGTCAAGGTTGCAGGTTCCATCCCCAGTCAAAACACATAAAAGAATCAGCCAATGAATACGTAGATAGATGGAACAACAAATTGATGTTTCCTTCTCTCTCTCTCTCTTTCTCTCTCTCTCTTTCTCTCTCTCTCTCCCTCCCTCCTGGCTTTTCATCTCAGCTTTGCCACTATCCCATCTATAATTTGGGTGAGCCCCTAAGCTTCTCTGGACATATGTTCATCTTATAATTAGAGGAATAAAACAGCTTATTTCTTTTATTCTTTTATATTTCGTGGATTATGCAGTAGCTTAATGTGTAATGAACAGATAGATGGATGAATGAAGAATAAAATATGACACTGTATAATAATGCTGTACTGCAGTATGCAGAGTGGCACCTAGTCCCTTAGGGTGTCATCCTAGCTGAGTGCATTCCACCCAAGTGCAATTTGGGGAGCTTGATGGCAGAGATGAAGCTACAAGTAGTCTCCCTAAATACATGGTGAAAGTGGGAGACAAATGGAGTCCAGGGGGCGCAGAACTGGTGGTGGGTAGACTCAGTAGGAGATGAGGGATGATGGGAGCCTGAACTATCGTAGTGGCAATGGGAATAAAGAGCAGAGGATCAAGTTGAGAGCTTTAAAGGAGACAGAATAGCTAGGACTTAGTGGTGGTATCATCAAGATGGCTCCAGACAACCTCATAATCTCTGTAGCTTGAAACAACAAAGACATGTTTCTCACTGGTATGACATGTCCCTTTCAGGTCCGAGAGGCACTGTGGTGGCTCACGGGGTCCCTCTGGGATCCAGGCTGAGGAGCGTCTCAGGGTGGCCGTGGGTGTGCCAGAAGGAAAGCTCTGCAGGGACTCACATGGACAATTACAGGCTGCAGCCCAAAGTGACATGCATCATTCACATGGACTAGAACTTGTCACTTGGCCCCACCCACTCTCTGGGGGCCAGAAAGTGCAGTCGAGGGTAAACAACACTGGTGCTGCCATGGTGCCTGGGATGTGAGGGATGAAGGAGGACCCCGGGTTTCTGGTTAGTGAGTTAGGCAGATGTGAGGCTGTCACTGAGAAAGAAAAGGTGGAATCGGGGCAAGGGGAAGGTGGACAGACCAAATCTTTCTCGGCCCTAAAGTGTAACCATTTTATTGGAAAGCAGTTCTGTTTGTTGATGAGAGTTACTTTATTCTTTACAAAGGCTATTTTCAATTCATTCTTTCCAAATAAAGTATTTTAGTTTTTAAAATGTAGTGTTCATTTTTTTAAATGTAGCGTCTTTCTTGAATTTTCATATGGACTATTGTGTCAACATACAGTGAGAAAAAATATAATTTTTAACTAGGATGTTAATGAAGCCTTCCTCACATGACAATATTAGGCTGCTGAATTCAAAATGCCAGAAACGCAAATGTCCTCCACGTCACTCCCCCAGCCCCCAGCAGGGCACATTTCAAGATACCAGGGGGCGGGAGTCTGCGGAGGTGTAATTGGGCTCATTGGAGCCCATTGTGCTCCCCTGGAGGCAGACACTGAGCAGCCTTAGGTTCTGAACATTAGTGCCTTGAGATCTGGGGGATGATGTCCTCTTTACCTCAAAAGAATGAGCTGACACAAGGAATCTATACTGGTTGTCCCCTTCTTTGTTTTTCACCTCCCCTCCCCAATTTAATTGTGGTACCTTAAAAACTGACTTTTATTGTGCGTTTGTTTCTTAACAGTTGCGAGAAGCAATCAAAGCTGGCAAAGGTGTGACTTCAGCTATTGACCTGTGTCGTTACCATGGAAACAAGGCCCTGGCGGCCCTGGAGAGCTTTCCTCCCTCCGAGGCCAGATCTGCTTTAGAAAACATTGTGTTTGCTGTGACCAGATTTTCATGACACCAAATTAAAAAGACACTATTGTTCGTTAGCTGGAAAAACAGGGATGAGGTGATCCAGAGAGCTTTCATAATGAAATATCTCAATTTGCTAATGACTTTAAAAACATACACATGGTTTTTTCTTCTTTTTATCACATTGCTAAATGCATACTGCCATCTTTTTGGAACTGCTACAAACAAAATTAGAAGAAAAAAGGTCAAGCCGTTTTCCTTTGTCACGCCAGAAGCACACTTGAGGCTGCAGTAGCAGAAATAATTAATGAGATTCGCTCCTGTGACCTCAGCAAATGGACAGGAAATAAGTCCTTATTGATTGGACCGAGCCAGGGATGGCGCCAGGGCGGTGGCCTGTGGTTTTCCTTCTAGAGAGGACAGAGCAAGCTGGGCGCTGCAGGTGTCAAGGGACACGCTGACAGTGCCAGCCTGGGGGACTGTCGCTTCAAAGACCAGTGACCAGAGGGCAGTTCAGTGATTAAGAAAAACTATGCTTTGTCTTCTGGCAGTTATGTCTCTGTATTTACAGACCCAGTGTGAATATACTTTGCACTTCATGGTTTTTGTAAGATTTGGGGAAAATTGTTGGGGGGGGGAAAATGCCAAATAGTTGAATTAAGAGATTAAAACGTTATCAAAAGTTAACTTGGTTGTAGTAGGAATTGCCTGTTTTTCTTTCTTAAAGATCAATTTTCTTTTTAAACACATTTCAAAGAATAAAAGTTTTTTTAAAAACTGAACAAAATACTTTTTTTGAGTAAGATGCATTTATTTGTAATACTTTGGCATAAAGAATACCTTTAATTTTTACAAGTTTCGTGTGTGTGTGTGTGTGTGTGTGTGTGTGTGTCTGGGCGTGCAGGAGTGGCAATACTTTTTTAAAACCTCAGAATGTCAGTGTTGGTTTTTGAACCACAGACATCAGTTTCAGAAGGAATGTAAGCCAGCTCCCGGCCCTGCAACCAGACCTGGCTCTGCGACTCACAGGAGATAGCTCTGCGGTTCGCGTGCAATGTGAGAGCACCGATGACAAGGAGGCTGAGTTCACAGAAATGACCGGGAGTGGGATTCAGCTGCCTTTCTTCCTTGTGGTGTAATTACAGCCCTGTCTGGAGACAGGGGCACAGCAAACAGCTTTTATTACCTTGTTCACTCCAACACTAAGCGAAGTTATTTTAGTTAAATCACCCCCAAAAAAGTTACAAAACCATTTTATCATGGCCTCGCATGAGGCCTGCAATGAGGAGAAAATCTAAAGCTAGAGGTTGATGCATTGTATTCTGAAATATTTTTAAGTATCCTTGAAATATTATAATTGTACAGTTTATGCCAACTACAATTTGAAGGCATATAGATTTAGCTTAAGAGAACACTTTTCTGTTTGAAATGTCTTTTCTCACAGAAATTTGCTTAATTAGTAACTGGTTAGATGCTTTAGAGCAGACCAGATTTTAATCATTAACTTCCACAGAGGAGCTGTGCCTGGTGTTGTGTGGGTGTGCAGGAAGTTAAGCGAGCTGTAGGTTCTATTGAGCAGATGGCCGGGTGCCGCAGGACACAAGGCAAGATTCTAGGGCTCTTCTGATTCTGGTTTAGCTGCTGGTTTGCTATGTCACCTTAAGCAAGTCACTTTCCTCTGATCCTTGATTTCCTCATCTGTAAAATAAGGTTAAACAACAGAATGTTTGAACTCCCTTCCAGCTGTGTCTTACTTCCTAAAAGTTTGACATTTCTGACTGTCTAGATAACAAAGATACTGCGAGGCTCAAGGACAAGGTGAAACCCAAAGAGGGGCTCAGTGTTTGAGCATCAATCGACCTATGAACCAGAAGGACATGGTTCAATTCCTGGCCAGGGCATATGCCCAGGTTTCAGGCTTAATCCCCAGTAGGGGGCGTGCAGGAGGCAGCTGACTAGTGATTCTCTCTCAGCATTTATGTCTCTTAGCTCTCTCCCTCTCGCTTCCTCTCTGAAATCAATCAGTAAGTAAGTATATAGAGAGAGAGGGGCTCTGAAGGAATGCAGAAAAGCTTCTTGTGAAGCTGCCTCACAGGCATCCTAGTATTCCCAGCTCACCTCTGTATGATGTGTAATCCCAGACTCCTGTTTCAACACGACCTTTCTGCTTTCTTTGGGACCTTTCCTTATTGTTGAGTGACAGTGCTCTGCTCTGCCCACTGGGGCACCTTGCAGAGTTCTCACTTCCTCAGCATCCCTGACACATTGGTTCATTCACTCTAAAGTGCTCAATACTGCCCTAACCGGTTTGGCTCAGTGGATACAGCGTCGGGCCTGCAGACTGAAGGGTCCCGGGTTCGATTCTGGTCAAGGGCATGTACCTTGGTTGCAGGCACATCCCCAGTAGGGGGTGTGCAGGAAGCAGCTGATCAATGTTTCTCTCTCATCGATGATTCTAACTCTCTATCCCTCTCCCTTCCTCTCTGTAAAAGGTCAATAAAATATATTTTAAAAAATAAAATATTCAATACTGATAGCCTTTCTCCAGGCCCCTTCTTCAGGGATACTTATTTGTTAACTCATATTAAGTCCTTATAATTTCACACAATCTCTAGGGAGAAGTTTGGGGCACCAAGACATGCTTCATCACACTTCTTGAGGCCAAGGAATGGTAGAGTTGTGACTGAGGTTGTCTCCTCCTTCACCCCCTCTATGTCACTATCCCCATCTCCAGTTTTTTGCTAGAGGGAAGAAATCAGTCATTAACCATTATCATGCCTCCTTCCATCTGGCCCCCCCAGACCTGCCAGTTATCTCCTCCAAACCTCACCCACTTCAGGTCCCTGAACTCACCTGCACTCTGCTCCCTACCAGTTAGTATAATAAAGACTGCATTCGTGAGGGCTCCCTATTAAGGGCCTTCACTATTCCATCTTGTTTGAATCCCATCACCAGTCCCTGGGAGTAAATATTAGCCCCATTCACAGAGGGACCACCTCTGGCTAGCTGGCCCTCATGTCCCACCTCCCCACCTGAGAGTCTTTCCAGATAGTACTCTTCCTCTCTCCCTTCACTGCTCTTTCCAAATAAGACTTCTTTCTCCTTTCCAAAAATCTTGAGCCTGTAGCCTCCTGTTTCCTCCATGTTCCTAGGCTTGAGTCTTCAGTGTCCCCTCTTCTGGCTGTGCATGTGTTCGGTTCGCCCTGTCCCTGACATAACAGTCCTTCCTTGCCCAGTCCGTCCTTCCATCCCCCACTTTTTCCCTCCCAGCTTCACCAGCACTCCCAATTGGTCATTCACTCCCAGGTCCCTGTTACTGGGGAGATATGGGGAGATAAGAAAATGAGGAGCCCTGGGTGCTTGTCTTCTTGAGGGAAAGATCACACTCAAGAGACAAAGTGTAAAAAAATAAGAATTCATTTAATATGTGGTGACAGGAGAAGATTTGACTTTGGGTGGTGGACACACGGTGCAATATTCGGACCTTGTAACAGAGAAACCCACACCTGACGCCTATATGTTCATGTTGACCAATGTCATCCCAATAAATTTTATTTTTAAAAGAGAATTTATTGAGCACAGCAACAACATCCTTACGACAGTGAAACAAGGAAGGACATAGAAGAAGCAACAGGAGAGCCTAGGCTGGGCTGCTTTCACTCACTGAGAAGTTAGAGAAAAAGGGGGAAGGGGGGCCTTGGAAATAGGTTCAGGGGGTTAGCCCAGGACAAGCTGCTGCTGCTGCCCATTGCTTCCCTGGTTGCAAGTCTCATGGGGTCCCTTAGAAGTTAGGGTACACCTGGGGCGGGGGGAGAGAAGGGAAAGGGAATGGCACTGGCATGCTTCTTGGAGAGAGGGCACTGGGACCTTCATTTTCAGGGGTTTTAAAGACTGGGCTTTAGGGGAGGTCTTAGGAACAGATCAATAGAATATTCATCAGCTTTATGCTGATGCACCAAAATGAGATTTATACTCTTAACCTATCTGTCCTTGGGTGTGGTTGACAAATGTCACTTAATTGGATTTCTGTTATCTGTCTCCCTGAGTAGGAAGATTTAAACTATTTACCCTCTACTTAGGGAGAAGTGAAAACCATTTACTCTTGTGTCCTTGGTTTAGGGAAGATAGGATTTACTAAGTGGACACAAACTGCTGTTTAAGTATGTTTCCCCATTCTACTCGCCCTGAAATTTTCCTAGCTCCTTACTATTCTATAACAGCCTCCATCATCTAGACCAGTGGCAATGCTGCAGATACTCAAAGAGTACTTGTTGAACAACTCCGGTGTCTTGATGGGCAACTCCAGGAGGCACAGTCCACAGAGGATGTCCTTATCAATTAGATATTGATTAGATAGTGAGCTATTTGCCATTCAGGATTAGTTACTTTGAAAGAAGATAAGGATTATGCTTATTAACTTAGTTTCACTTGATGATGACACTGAGTCCTCTTCATGTTTTCTTGCTCATATAAGGTGGCTAACTAGTCATCTAATTGCCAGTGACTTGTTTGCCTGGTCCAGGTCTCACTCCCCAATGTTTGAGACTTTATCTTATCTATGACTGTTATTGCTGTGGCTCAGGATGTGGGTGACACCTACACACTTGGGGTAAAAGACATACAACCCATTGAACTCAGGTGACCAGAAAGTAATCTGAACAACCCGTGATTATATGATCGCCTTTCAAAACCTGACAGGTTGCTACAACATAGATCTCTTTGAGTAAGTGGGTTTTGGGGAAATTGTGTTTACTCAACGAAGTTGCTACTAAAGGGTACTTTTTTGTTTTTAAGACTAGCTAATCAGCAAGTCCATCACTGATAAGGAAAACCTTGCTTTTCAGAAAACACTTTTCAATCTCCTTCCTAGAGTTCTTAGTCTCCAGAAGATCCTTTTCTGCCTCTTCGTCTGTCTTCCCACTGAAATCCTATTGTTAAGATCACCTTTCTGGACAACAGAAGCTCCAGGATTTATCTGTACTAGTAGACTCTCTAATGACTTCGGCTCAGTCTAGAGAAGGCACTCAAAGCACAGAAAGGCAAAGATGGATGGGCTTGGTTTTCTAATCCATTTAACTGTGAGGACATGATTGTCATTCCACTATTATTAATAGTTTCCATTATTGTTAATCATGCTTTAGTAATAATCAAATTATTTGCACTTTCTCTAAAAACACAAAGCAATCTAACAAGCTAATCATTTATCTCTCTCTCTTTTCCTAACTTCAGTCTGGATCCCTTCTCAAATTAACTGTTTTATTCTTTCAGAATGGGTCCTGCCTTTCCGTTAAGGAGATAACATACTTCTAACGGTGATTGAAAAAGAGGTGTCACCTGGGGAGTGGCAAGAGGACTCAAAACAATATGCTTTGCGTATCGTTTTTCAAGGGTAGTAATTATAGTATAACTTCAACTTTGGGTCCTGCTATTTTCACATAACACCTCATGAACATTTTTCCATGGTGCTGTAGTCTTCATAACCATTATTACTAAGTAGCTTAAATTCTAAGCAAGCATCTGAATTCTTGTTCCTGGTAGGTTTCTCTGTTGTAAATGGATTTTTGGTAAATACTTCATAAATCAACTTCCCAACCTGCTACGAAGAAAGTGTTTGACTTGGGAAGATAGTGCCCCT